CCTCTGCAGCAAGACCTTCTGGTGAGCAGTCATGCGAGACACAAATAGCTCCCCATTGCGTGTCTACCAGAGAGGCCAGCTTACAGTCACCTTCACAGGCCTCAGCCATTTCCCAGTCTTGCTTCTTCCAAACCCATAACCATCAGAGCCTGTCTTTGTCTGTTTGGACTGCTGTAATAACCAAACCGTAGACTGAGGGGGCTGACTGACAACAGAAACTTATTTCTCCCAGTTCTAGAGATTGGGAAGTTCAAGGTCAGGTGCCAGCATGGTCAGGTTCTGGTGAGGACCTGCCCCTGGGTTGCAGATTGCCAGATTCTTGCTGTGTCCTCGCATGGTAGAAGGGACATGGCAGCTCTCTGGGGTCTCTTTTATTATAAAGGCATTGATTCCATTCATGAGGACTCCACCCTCGTGACCTACCTACCTCTAAAAGACCTCACCTTCTAACACCACCACCTTGAGGATTAGGATTTCAGCATGTGGATTTGCGTGAGACACAAATATTCAGACCAGAGAAGAGCCCAGTTGCAAGTCAGGGGTTATTTCCTTTTAAAAAAAAAAAAGTTTCTTGCCGAAAGAGGCGATTTTCCTCCAAAATCCTAGCAAGCCAATTTGTTCCATGCAGCTTACAAAATTTGCTGGGTTATAAGAGCCTAGCTGCAGAGCCAATCAACTTAAAGGCTTTACTCCCTGGAGATGTTTTCTCCTGGCCCAGCACTCATCAAACCTGGTAGCTTTTCAGATCACCCAGTAAATAGGTCAAATAGGTGCTAAATGTTATTCATAGTGATTTACTAGGAACTACTTCAGGATGAGTAGTGTGTTGTGTGTGAAAGTTAATTTTATTCAGCCTCTTGGGGCTAGCTAATTGGCATAAAGAATATTAGAAATAGCTTTCACTAGAGAAATTAAAGTTTAAGATGTGGTTTCCTTGGGAACCACCACTGTGATGATTGATGCAGCCTAGGATGATCAATGGGTGCTAGACCATAGTCTCAGAGTATCACCCCACAGATTGCTTCTTTATAACAAAGAAAAAAGATAGCAAGTGGGAATAAAATCTGGCAGACATCAACTGAATTATGTAAACAAATTAATATCACCAGTAATGGGACAAAATGACATTTTCTGTCTCCTATGTGAGAAGGACACATTATTTGGGTAGAGTTCTTGCCAAAAATATCTAGCCTAAAACTAATCATAGGGAAAAATTAGAGAAGTTTAAATTATAGAACATTATGCAAAAACACTGTTCTGAACTATTCAAAGCCTTCAGTAACCCAAAATAAAATTTTTTAAAATCTAGATTAAAATTAAATTTAAAAATTAGTGGACATGATAGCTAAAAGCAATGAATAATCCCTGATTGGATCTTAGATTCAAAATAAATAGATATAAAGGATATTATTAAAACAATTGGGGAAATTTGAATTTGAATGTAGACTGCATATTAAATTTCTTAAGCATGATAATGTAATTGTGGTTATGTAGGAGAATGGCTTTCTTCTTAGCAGCTAGTATTGAAGGTGATGAGTTTAAGGGTAAAGCATCATAATGTTCCAACATACTTTCAAGTCGTTTGGAAAAAGATGCATATGCAATGCATAAACCCACATGTTTATCAACAGATGAATGGATAAAGAAAATGTGGTATATGCATTAAAATGGAATATCATGCAGCCTTTAAAAAGAAGGAAATCCCTATCACGTTCAACATGCATAAACCTTGAGGACATTGTGCTAAGTAAGTTAGATAAGCTAGTCACAAAAGGACAAATACAGCACTTTTCCACTCACATGAGATATCTAAAGTAATTCTAATTATAAAAACAGAAAGAAAGTAGTTGCCAAGGATGGGGAGAGGGGAGAAGGAGAATTAGTTTGTTTCATGGCCATGGAGTTTCAGTTTTGCAAGATGAAGAAGTTCTAGAAATCTGTTACACAACAATGTGAATATACTTAACACTATCGAACTGGACACAGAAATGGGTAAGACAGTAAATCAAATGTGTTATGTTTATAACCACAATTTAAAATAAAGTAAAAATTTTTAAATGTACGCACATGCATGTTTATGACTTACGTATGTGTGTATGTAAATATATGTATATATTATTTCTTAGAGAGAAAGAAAAGTAGGCAAAGCAAATGTGGGAAATGTTAATAACTGTGAATCTGGAGAGAGGATATGTGGGTGTTTTTATATTATCCTTTCCCTTTCTCTAAAAAAAAAAGGAGGTGGGGGTAATCTGCAATTCACTCAGAATTGTGTAACGAGGCTCATGGCCCTTCTATGAATTACGTACTTTTAAAAATTAAGGCAAGCTCAACAGTTCACATGGGGAGAGGATGCTTGGGCTAAGGCCACTTGGGCCCACTTCTCTTTACTTTTTGGAGGAGTTTGCCTGTCCTGCTGTAAGCAGGTATCTACTTTAGAACAAGGTTCCCATTCCACTGCCGGTCATTGTGGCTGACAACACAGACAGAGCCCCCTTTCAAACTCCGGACCAGCTGTTCATGCCTGCAAGCCAAGAAAGAGCTGTATGGCTGCTGGCATTTGGTCGGAGACTTGCTCTATACCAACACTCCGGCAGCAGCAAGCTTGTGTGGGTGGAGATGCATAAGGCCTGCACTCGCACCTGCTTCTAACACCATTCACCGAAAATAATCCGACACTCACGTCATGTCGTTTGGCAACAACAGGGCACCAACTGTGGAATGTGCTCCTCTCAAACCCAAAGAGGCATACGGTGATGTAATGCGGGGTGAAGGAAGCAAGTTGCGGAACAGTATTTCGGAATGACACCATATGTGTTCAAAAGGAAAAACGGGAGGGGTGGAGAAAGAAAAGGAGGCAGGGGAGAAAAGAAGGGAGAGGGAGGGGAAAAGAAAGGTAGAAAAGGAAAGCAAAGGGAAGGAAAGAAAAAAATGAAAAGAAAACCTTTCTGTGGATGTCTGTACGTATATATATCATATGATATATGATATATACATATTAATGTGTCCATATGCATTATACATTTTAATGATATATATACACATACATACATTAAAAATCTGAATAAACATATATCAAACTTTAATAGTGTTATTCTTAGAGCGTTTGAAGGTAAGGATAAGATTTTCACTATTTTACTTCTTTTTCTTGTATCTTGTATACATTTTCTGAATTAGTCCATCTTAATTTGAAATTTTCTTTTAATTTCTTTTAATCATTAAATTTTCTTTTAATTAAGAAAAATTAAGGCAAAAGGCTATTTGGGGAGGGAGCTTTCTCCTTGAAGGAAAGAAGCTGCTGCTGCCACTTTGCGGTAAATAAAGAGAGTGCAGTGTAGGTCAAAGGCACATAGACCCCGTCGGTGGACCACACATGGCCTGCGCCTATTTTTATAAATAAATTTGCGCAGGAGCACAGCAGCCTCCTTCGTGCTACAAACAACGAAGTTCTATAGTTGTGACGGAGACTAGATAGCACGCAAAGTCAAAAATGTTTATTATCTGGCCCTTTACAAAAGGCATTAGCCAATCCCAGTTCCAGATTTATATTTACCTCTGAGATGGGAGTTATCCATAAGAACACTGACTCCATTAGAACACCAACTCATAAATTCAAACTCTCAGAGGAAGAGGAAAAAGGCAAGTGCTAAATTTATTTTGTAAACTCTAAAAGTTGATATCACAAATGCACCTCATTATAAAAACCTTTTTTTTTTTTTGAGACAATCTTGTTCTGTCACCCAGGCTGGAGGGCAATGGCACGATCTTGGCTCACTGCAGCCTCCATCTCCCAGGTTCAAGCAATTCTCCTGCCTCAGTCTCCCAAGTAGCTGGGATTACAGCTACCCACCACCGTGCCTGGCTAATTTTTGTATTTTTAGTAGAGATGGGATTTTACCGTGTTGACCAGGCCGGTCTCAAACTCCTAACCTTTCAGGTGACCCACCCACCTTGGCCTCCCAAAGTGTTGGGATTACAGGCGTGAGCCACCATGCCCGGCCAAGACTTTCTTTATTCACCTAATGTGAGTACCTCCTAACAGTTCTGTCTGTCATTCTTGGTTGATTTTCTTCAAAGAATGTATCACTGACTGATACTTTCTCATTTGTTTGTTTACCTCGGCCTCTCTCATCACAACCTAAGAGCTGTGAGAATAGGAATCGTCTCATTCTTATTCATCACTATATTCCCAGTGCCTAGAACACAGCCTGGCACATAGCGAGTGCTCAATAACATTTGATGAATTAATGAGTCAATCAATCAATCTGTGATTCAGTGGCAGAATTTTTATATCAGGGTAAGGAGAGAGAATGATGCAGTCAACAGCAATAGCAAACAGACTCCAAAGATAAAGAAAAAGAGCAGTCAGTGAACAGTCCATGAACATCTTTGAAGATGAACTAGAATGCTTAGTAATTGTGTACATGCAACTTCTGTTTTTCAGTTGAATTCAAAAATAACATAGGGAGAAAAGAAAGAAATATCTGCCTGGGGGAAAAGACTGCAATGAGATACAGCAGTGTCAGGACTGGGGTGGAGATGCTTTATTATGGCTTCTTTGTTGAAGGCAGCTCTTAGGGTCTTCACAAGGGCAAAGAAGACATGGGGAATTCAAGCGTGTTCCTTTCTGAGGTTCAGGCACAGTCAGTGGCTCAGAGGAGGAAGTGGCAGAGGGTCCAAGCTAGAAATCCTTCCCTTTCGTGTGTGTGTGTGTGTGTGTGTGTGTGTGTGTGTGTGTGTGTGTGTGTTTAATCATAAAGCTACTAACCAGCTGGGACCCAGCTAATCCCCAAGCACAGCCCACTCCCCTCAGCACACACAATGCAAAAAAGGCTATAAACTGAGATATTGTGTCCAAGAGGAGCCAGTTCCCCTGGGGGAATCCCAGTCCTGGAGACATAAGAGGGGTACCACAGGATCTCTCTTTTCCTTCACTCCATTCATCCCTCTGAGGACAAACTGGATTATCAAATGCCACGGGTGAATTATCAGCTACTTACAAGTGATCCTCATGCCCCACATTCTCTATATCCTATCTTCCTTCTGAAGGAAGTGGATCCTACAGAGGGTCCTTCATTTTGCCAGACAGAGGGATAGATGACAGGCTGAGAGACTGGAAACCCTGAAAGAGATGAGATTGTTTTGCCCAAGAACACAGAGAAAACAGATAAAGGAAATATCAAACCTTTCCTCTTTGGAAAGAAAGCACATATGTCTCCTGGGAATTTTTATTAGGTTTTGTCATAGATCAAACTCCCTCCCCCAGACACAGACAGCTTTTCAGTCTCCCCAAGAAATTTTCAGGAAAATTGTCATTACTCATTAATCTTTTGTTGCACTGGATCTTGGGGAAATGATAACAAAGTTCCTGCCGCAAGGTGGGTGTAGGGTCAAGAACAGAGACTACCCATGGTGCCCAGTCACATCTGAGTTACAAGAATAGCCTATTGTATTCTGTGGCCCTGGAGTTCTTATCTCTGCCATGATGAAATGCAGAAAAATGTGCAACCTTGAAATACAGAGAGACCCATTCACTCTCATAGGTGAAACCAGAAAGGCTTGTACTGTTTTAGAAACAAATTAACTCCCAGTTGGCTAGCAGATACCAATGGAAAACAACAACTCATTCAAAGGTAAATTAATCCTTTGTGCAAATAGCCGAACTCGAATACCAAAACTAGTGCAGACCCACATCCATTTACAATTTCTTCAAACTTTGTACAATATGCCCCATTCTCTCAATTGAACAATCTGATTGTCTAAAACAACCTGCATCTATAATCCTTAGATTCTGGATTTTTCCTTAACTATTTCACGGCAGCTCCTTCCCTGGGCAGATACACTGTACCTGATTGACTGGTTTCCAACCGGAAAAGGGAAAAGTTCCATGCCCAAATGTACAGTTTACAATCTAAAGGAATCCAATTCAGAGATTCCTATTTTTATCATCTCCAGGTCTCTGCTTTTTTCTGCAGCATCAGCTTCTCTCATCTATTGCTTTTCTCCCATTGGTTATGTGGTATTTATACCATCTCAATTTGAACCTCCAAGAAATCCACATGAAACACAAATGTACAGATTTACCTTTTCCCTCGGAGCCTGCACTCCCTAATCAGACTCAGCTGCCTCCACTGTAGTGATCTATCCGGATTCAGACCCGACTTTGCCAGTATTTCCTCCAGGTTTTAAACAGGTGCCTCTTCCTCCCTCACCTGAGTCAGGTGGTCCTTCCACCTTCCTTTCTATTTGTTGCTGGGGTTTAGGGGAGTGGAGTAAAAGGGTGGCAGAGTGCAGATGTGACAGTATAAAAAATTGCACATACAAAAGGGTATAAAGTGGATGTCGTACTCATGTGTCCCCTGGCCAGGGTAACCACTGTTAACATTTTGTCACATGTCTGATAGACCTTTATTTATATATAGTTTATGCAAACACACACACCATGCACATGCACACAACACACTCACACACACACACATGCGAGGTCATACTGTATATCTGGTTATGTGACTGGCTTTTTCTCACTTGTTCTATATATACTCATTCATTCCTAACACATTTAATAAGCGTCTTTTCTCTTCCATTGGCTTCTAGGCCCTGGGAACACATCAGTGAACAAAACAGACAATTCTTGTCCTCATGGAGCTTACATTTTTGTGGAGAATGTGAACAAGAAAAACTAGGTAAGCAGATGGTATTTCATATGGCAATGTATTCATCTGTTCTCACACTGCTAATAAAGATATACGCAAGACTGGGTAATTTATTAAGGAAATAGGTTTAATGGACTCACAGTTCCACTTGGCTGGGGAGGCCTCACAATCACAGAGGAAGATGAAAGAAAAGCAAAGGGATGTCTTACATGGCAGCAGGCAAGAGAGATGAGAACCAAGCAAAAGGGGTTTCCCTTATAAAACCATCAAATCTCATGAGATTTATCCACCACCACAAGAATAGTATGAAGGAAACCACCCCTTTGATTCAATGACCTCCCACTGTGTCCCTCCCACAACATGTGGGAAATTCACGTGGGAGCTACAATTTGACATGGGATTTCGGTGGGGACACAGCCAAACCGTATCAGTAATAAGTGCTATAAAAAGTGGGAGAGGGAAGATTGGAAGTGGGATACCACTGTTTAAATGAGATCAAAAAACATTTCTCTAATAAGATGTTATTTGAGGAGAAACCCGGGATTCAAGTTCCAGGAGGAAGCTGGGGTGGCTGAAACCAGCAAGAGGAAGCTGCAAGCAGCTGTGTGGGGTGGGCGCTGGAAGAGATTAAGTAAGGCTGTGAAGCCCACAGTGGGAGCCTCCCATTCCGAATGAGACTGGTGCTGAGCACTGAAATATTTCATTTTTTTCTCATTTCCATTCCAAACCATTTTTCCTTCCCTACTACTCCACAATCCTACCTTGAAAAAATTTAATTACTCTTCTGTCATCAGATTCTACCCCCACCAGCCTCCTGTGACTGTCATCTGCAGCCCCAAATCTCCTCTTTTTTGTAGAGATTGTAGCTCCTAGCTCAAGATACTTCTGTTGGTGACTCTGTTATCCCTGTAACTCAGAGGTTCTCAACCTCAGGTGCACATTAGAATCACCAGGGGAGCTTATAAAAGATCACATATATTAGGATTTAGCCCACAGAGACTTTGCTTAATTTGGTATAAGAAGGACCAAGACATTAATATTTTTAAGTCTCTAGGTGATTACAATATGCAGCCAAAGTGGAGAACAATGTCATAACTGATCTTTCCAGCACCCTGAGAGGTTTCAGCTCCAGACCTCCTTCTCATATCCCATCTTCTCCTCAGCCACTCATTACTATGATTTTGCCATAGACTTCGACACCATCAGTAACAGCTTTTCCTTAATCTCAATTTAAGCCTTCTGCTCTCCTGCCAACACGTGCCAACTTTCTTGAGTATCCCAACTCTAGTAACCTCTAGACCTAGAGTCCGTTGATCCAACTACATGGATAAGGTCTCTCAATCCCCTCATGGCCTCACTTCCCTCTTTATTCCAGCTTAGAGTCTATGGCCCATCATTACCACCATTGCTTGAGACCTTCAACTTCCTCATCCCACTTTCACTTCTTCTGTTCCTCCTCAAAAATTACCAAAATAGATTAATGAGCCAATCATCCACCAATTCCCAGAGGGTTGAATTCTTCATCCTTCTCTCCATGGCTTTTTCAATCAGCTGTATGTAACCCAAAGAACTATGTTGATTTCCTTTTCCCTCAATTCAAAATAGTTTGAATCAGAACTTTATTTCCTCTATTCAATGCCATGCAGTCTTTTACCTAAAGTGGACCTTTATTTGCTGACTCAAGAAGTTATCCTGCTAAAAATATAAAACTAATAACATTCAAAAGAATGTCTGTTTTTTTTCTATATGGTCAAACTGATATAAGCTTATGCCACCCCTGAGAAAAAGGGGAATTTTTGTAAACATTGTTAAAAACACCAGCTTGTTGGTACCCACCTCACAATTCCCCTCATAGTCCCAAAGAGGCATAATAAGCTGAATGCTCAGGGTTATTGTTTCCTGACCTCACCCAAGACACAGAGCTATGGGGGCAACCTCAGATGCACATAGAAGTAAAGCAACTCAGGGGCCGGATATGGTAGCTCACACCTGTAATCCACACTTTGGAAGGCCGAGGTGGGAGGATCACTTGAGGTTAGGAGTTCAAGATGAGCCTGGCCAACATGGGAAACCCTAAAAAATACAAAAATTAGCCAGGCGTGGTGGCACATGCCTGTAAAGAAGGAAGAGAGGAAGAGAGAGAGGAAGGGAGGGAGAGAGGGAGGGAGGGAGGGAGGGAGGGAGGGAGGGAGGGAGCGAGCTGAAACAGGAGGATCACTTGGGCCCAGGAGTTCCAGATCAGCCTGGGCAACATAAAATTGTCAATACTCATAGAAGTGGAGGATAAAACGATGGTTACCAAAGGCTGGGGACTGAGGGAATAGGGGTGGAAGGGAGAAGAAAGAATGTGAAAAAGAAAGAATTTTGTTGATCAAAGGGTACGAATTTTCAGATAGATAAGAGGAATAAGATTTGAGATCTATCGTACAGCAGAGTTACTATAATCAACAAAAATGTAGTGTCTATTTCAAAATAACAGTAAATTTCAAATGTTTCACTGTAATAAATGACAGTTAATTATGCAAGGCATTGGATAAGTTAATTAGCTGGATTTAATCATTACACATTGTATACATATATCAAGATATCACATTATGTTCTATAAATGTATACAATTATTATTTATTAGTCAAAAATATTAATAAAAATAAATAAGTAAAACTGTCATTATTTGTGGATGATTTGACTGTGTACATAAAATCTCAAGGAATCAATAAACTACTGTGTACTGAAGAAGGTCTCTGGACACAAGATCAACATTCAAAGCCTAATTGAATTTCTATATTTTAGCAATAAACAACTAGAAAGAGAAATGTTTGACCAATTTACAATTATATTAAAAACTTAAAATACCTAGAAATAAATCTAACAAAAGCTATTTAAGATCCCTAACACAAAACTGCAAAAGAAAAGACTCTATTACAAAGTCACGTGCACGTATATTTTTATTGCAGCACTGTTCACAATAGCAAAGACTTGGAACCAACCCAAATGCCCATCAATGACAGACTGGATAAAGAAAATGTGGCACATATACACTGTGGAATACTATGCAGCCATAAAAAAGGATGAGTTCATGTCCTTTGTAGGCACATGGATGAAGCTGGAAACCATCATTCTCAGCAAACTAAACACAAGAATAGAAAACCAAACACCACATGTTCTCACCCATAAGTGGGTGCTGAACAATGAGAACACATGGGCACAGGAAGGGGAACATCACACACCAGGGCCTGTCGGAGGGTGAGGGGGTAGAGGAGGGATAGCAGGGGGTGGGAGGCTAGGGGAGGGATAGCATTAGGAGAAATACCTAATGTAGATGATGGGGTGATGGATGCAGAAAACCACCAAGGCACACATATACCTACATAACAAACCTGCACATTCCGCACATGAACCCCAGAACTTAAAGTATAATAAACTAATTTTTTTAATTTAAAAAGATTTCAATTAAAGAAAACAAGTATATTGATGAATACACTATGCTCATGTTTAATATATTCAATATTGTAAGGATATCAGTTTTCCCAAAGTTTATACATCAGTTCAATATAATTCTAATCAAAATCCCAGCAGAATTTTGCAGAAACAAACTAGCTGATTTTTAAATTTATATGAACTTCATTAAAATAAAAAACATCGGCCGGGTGTGGTGGCTCATGCCTGTAATCCCAGCATTTTGGGAGCCCAAGGCAGGTGGATCACAAGGTCAGGAGTTCAAGACCAGACTGGCCAATATGGTGAAAACCCATCTCTATTAAAAAGTTCAATAATTAGCTGGGCGTGGTGGCTCATGCCTGTAATCCCAGCTACGTGGGAGACTGAGGTAGGAGAATTGCTTGAACCGGGACCTGGGAGGTGGAGGTTGCAGTGAGCCGAGATTGAACCACTGCACAATAAAAAAATAAAAAACATCTATTCATCAAAAGGTACCATTGAGAGTGGAAAACCAAATCATTACGTAGGAGAAGACATAATAATACATGTATCTGATGAAGGAATGATATCCAGCATTTATCAAGAATTTCCAATAAAGAAAAAAACACACTGACCCCTTCAAAAAATAATGAATGTCCCAGTCACCCTTTGGGTGACCTAATCAATAATACATACTACTGCATCTTTTAATTCCCTCTTCCTTGTTCCTTTTATCAACCCCTTATCCTGAACTCTGGCTTTCTGGGATAGTGATGCCCAAAGAAACTAACTCAATCCAAAATTTTATTGCAGGCTCTGCTCTCAAGGGAGCCCAGCTAAGACAGCATGCAAAAGTAGTTGAAGCTTGTAGACCTAATTACAGGATCGAGACCGAAAGTTTCTGTTTTTCACTATGCCAGACAGGTCCCCAAGGAAACTGGGTCCTTTGACTGGCTGAAAGGGAAAGAACACTTCTGTATTAACTACTTCTTACAGCTTTTGGGACATGCTGTTTTCTGCAGATGTTCCCAAGGTAGCCAGGAAGAGCTCCTTCAAGCTGCACCGAGTTCTATTTGCTTTCCACATCCAGTCCCTACAAAACATG